GTCATCTAGAGGATTGCCATGCATTGGAATGCTCTGCCATGCACTGGATCCTCTTGGCAGTGTGATTGCTGACTCTAAAAATTGGCTTTTGCTCAGATGAGCAAAGACACACACTGCCAGTGATAGAATTTGCTGGGTGGATATGCAGCCTTCCTTACATCACATTTCAGTGCTACGATAACTGGCAAGCCTCCTTCATTTGATGCCGTTTTTGGATGCTGTCTGTCAGTCTTCCCTTGGTGTTCTTCAGAGGCACTACTCCTACTCTAAACACTTCTGCTTTTCTCTCCCACTGGTGAGATATGTTAAAAGTAAGCCTTTATTTTTTTCTGTTCTGGTTTTCTTTCAAGCATTGTCCCATATGAAACTCTGGAGGGTAGAAACAAATACAGTCGTGTGAAGGTTAAGCTATGTGACATAATTCCCTTAACATAATATCTTTTCAAATATGTTTAAATTGTTGAGCATGGTGTTTTTTCTTTTAAGCACTGATCTTTTCTGTAAGATGAGTTTGTATTAATATCTTATTTAGTTCAACAATGATGTGTGGAAATGATGTGTGCATTCGTGTATTCTATTTAATTTCCAGGCTAATTTGCCCCACTTTGCTTTGGCTGCAAGACTGTGCAGATTTCTTTGTTTCTGCATTAGAAGGTAAAAACAGCAGAATGGCTTTTTGCGATGGAAAGACAAGAGATTAACCAGAGAATCTTCACAGCTGGCACAGGAGGAAAGCGTCTATTAAAAATACACAGTTGTCTATCTCTGCGCATGAGTATGCACACACATGTGCACATGCTTATTTGTGTAACCTTTGGGAATATTTTCAAAAGGAAGCACTCCTACTGTATGTTGAAGTGGGGTTTTGTGAAAGTCGTGATGTCACAGAAGTTACAATGGTAATTTACAGGAAAGATTTAGGAAGCAACTGGGTTTATTTTTATTCACAGAATCACAGTGTAGGTGAGGTTGGAAGGGACCTCTGGAGATTGTATAGTCCAACCCCCTTGCTCAAAGCTGGGTCAACTAGAGCAAGTTGCTCAGAACTGTGTTCAGCTGAGTCTTAAATACCTCCAAGTATGGAGAGTCCACAAGATACCTGGGAAGCCTCTTCCAGTGTTTGGAAGTATCTGTTAGTTTTCAGAAATATTAATATCTTATTAATAGGGTAGTAAGGAAATGCTAAGTCTAATGTGAATTTGGTCATTCCACTTACAGACCACTTAAGTTTGAGGAAAGTGTGGCATGTTTTGCAAGAAGTAAAGGCATTCTGCAATTCTTTAAACTCAGGGAGCTGAGACACAAAAGAAACGCAAGCGTCTGTCACAGTAGCAGAATGGCTGTATTTTGCACTGTTGAGGATTAGTCTGCCCGTGTTGATAAGGCCTTGTAGAATTACAAATGTCTGGTCACCTTCCCAAGAAACATACTATGAAATTTCATATATAATAAATATCTTCCAAGAACTTTCAGTAGTGAGAGGCTGTGTATATCTATCCTAGCTGAAATGTAGACAGAGTCTGTATGTTACTTTTCTTAGCCTCGTTGAATTAAAGGTTAGTACACGTAATTTAACAAAGTAATGAAGGCACTCAGGTAAAAATATTGCCTTGGGATTTATATATGCATTTCAGCACTTCTTGAATTAAGTGTATTTCTCATTATTCTGGTTGGTGTGTAAGGCAGGAGAGCCTCTGTACAATTCACACTATTTATTATTTTCAGAATAGTTGTAATATGGAAGAACAGTCTATTGCTCTCTTATTAGGTACCACACCTGATTGCCTTTGCAATCTCATCTATGCTACTGCTATGGCCTGGTAAGGTAGTCTTCTAGCCAAATCGCTACTGTCTTGTTAAGGTCTAGGTAGAGGTTGTAGGAGTAGGTATTCTTCTGGAGATTTCACTCTTGCTTTCTCAAATGATGCTCTTCTTTTACCCATCTAAAGACTTGGAAAGGTAACACTGTTAAAATATTTGAAGCAGAAATGTAGTTTTTATATATTATGTTCTTTTTTAAAAAACAAGAACATGATTTAGATCCAAACTTATGGAACGTGTATGTAAAAAGGAATTCTGTATTTCCTATCAGCATTTGATATTTTAGCATTTTAAAATCTAAAGAATACATTGAAGAGCAGCTCTTCAATGTATTCTGTGCTGAGGTAGGAGCTTATCTTTGTAAGCAGCTTCTGAAATTACTTTAGGCTCTGGCAAGTGCATGAAGATTTTGTTTTCTTTGATGAGTATTTTTAAAGTAGCTGCATCATTTTTGTTGTATCTATGTCTGTTCTGCAATGAGCTTCCTTGCTGACAAAGGTTCAGTACTATTGAATGCCTCAGGGGAATTTTGGAAGAGTTTGATGTTATTGCAGTTGTATGTAATGTTGTTTAAGATTGTCTTTGAATGACTTTAGGTGGTCTGTTTGTATTTTTACTGTAGCCATCTCACTTTTTAAATTTTAAAGAGGAATTAGTGTAGGAGTGCTCTTTATTTTACCTTCTGAAAATCATTTAAGTGTATTTTCCAGTGAGTTCTGTTTTAAATATCTCCTACCTGGGTTTTTTTTGGGTGAGACTTACAGAATGTTTTCATCTTCTGAGTGTTCTTTCTTGTTGTAATGTATTAGTCTTTTTGCCCTCATTCTTCAATCTTTCAGTTTTGCAGAAAGCTCTGTATAAGATATGAAAGACATAGTTAAAAACCTTTATACAAATTTCCCACAGCTGTGGAAAAACTGTGTAATTTGTTTCCTAATTCAGGTGTTAAAGCTGGCATTTTTGTCTCCATGGTGTTTATCTGAAATAGGACACTGCTGGAACCATTTTTTTGTTCCTTATGAGAGCTGCTGCTTTTTCCTGTGTTTTTTGTCTGATCCAGGTACCAGGTGTTTTAATTTAAAAAAAAAAAAATCAAATTTCAGCTGTTGTAAAATCTTGGTTTTAGTGTCTTACTGGTTTAGATGATTATTTTATCAGATTCTTAGATCATGAAGTCGGGGCCAATTACAAATTGAGTTACTAAAGACAGACGTTGAACATTACAGATCTCTTAATAGAAGAGTCAAAATCCTGCATTTTGCCTTTTGCTTTTCTAATAACCATTTAAATATTTCCTACATGTGCTTTTCATGCTAAGTAATCCTTAATTCTGATGTGTTTGCCAACTGAAGTCTCTTTGGGTTTTTTTGTCTTTTCACAAGGTTAAAGCTCAGCTCTTGTTATGCAGCCACTTTGTTCAGCTCTTGCTTCTTTAATTTTTTGCCGTTTTTTTAATTCTAGTTTCAAAGAGTTAAATATCCTTTGCTTTACAAACTTCTAGTTTGTAAATAGTAATAGTGTAAGGTAAATGAAAAGCTTAATTCGTATTTTTTCTACTTGTGTTCCAAGGTAATAGATGCACAGAACTGTAAAACTATATAAATATTTTAAAAGTGAGTGTATTTTTAGATGTGATATAAGACTGTGAATAGAAATGTTGATTTATTTTTTTTTCCTTTGTTACAGTCGGCATATAGATGCTCAAAGAAAATAAAAGTTTAAATGTTGGCAAATATAAAAGGAAGAGTGTTAGACAAACTAATTTTGAATTCATTGTGCTTTGAATGTTAGCTCCATAATTTTGACTTCCAAGACTGAAAAATTGTAATGGATGGATTATATTTTTTTCAAAATTTATTTGAACAAATAAAATAAAATTGCATGTCACTTTATTTTCATATGTATTCATATTATATGTGCCAGAGAATTCAACAGTGAAGCAAGTAATCTAGACATTTTTGGGAAATGTGAATGCTGAGTATTTTTCTCGCCTGAGTCAAAATCAGCTCTTGAGTCTCCTAAAAATTATTACTTGCACCATATTCTGTACTTCTGTTGTTCATGTTTTAACAGGTGTTTCATAGCAATGTTTAAAATATGAATTTAAATTTCATTTAAGTTTACAAATTAGGTTTGGGTGTTTTCTTTGATGGATGATTAATTCACAGAAGTGTGTCAGGTTGCATTTTCGGTTTGCCAGTAAAGTTGATGTAAAAAGGTTGCACATGTATTCTAGGTGACTGAAAAAATAACATTGCGAAATCTGCCTAGCAGTTTGAAGATGAAACTGATTTTTTTATATTATTTTTCTTTTTTTACAATATGATATTTCATAGGCAAGCTGATGAAGATACCTGAAAACTACTTAATTAAATCTGCTGGTGATGTTAATTTAGGTGATAGAAAGACTCAATTATGCCACATAAAATATTACTTATTTGAAATAAAGCTATCATTGGAAACGCTAATGGTTTTCAAACTGCCTTCATGAAATTACTGCTTTACAAGATATGAATAATTAAGGAGTCTGTCTGTGATTCCTCTGTCTTGTATGGCATCCTGTATGGTGTCTTGAGCTAGTTAATACAGTAACTGGTTTCTATGCCTACTAGGTATCACAGATTTGACAAAAACATCCTTTCACTCTGAACTGTGCTTATAATTTTTTTCCATCTGAAAGCACTGTTTGTCTAAGCAACTTTTGCTTGGAAAGACTAGTAATGGGCAAGTGGGAGAGTAATCTGTGTTTTGGAAAAAAAACATATTTCAATATAGTAGAAAGACAGTATCAGTATTAGCTATTTTAAATCCTTCAAGATCACCTAAATTAATGATGCAATATTTCTTGGATATGGCAAATGTTAGAACTTTATTTATTATTTTGAAAGACCAGAAGCCTATTCCTCTTTTTCTAAACATGATTACCTTTAAAGGAAGATGCCTTTAGAAGTTTACACTTACGTGCAGGAAGTTTTTTTTAGAACAAAAACCTAAAAGAATGGTTATATGAATTTTCAGAACGTTTGTTGATGGCATAGATGTTTTGGTGCATGTTTTAGTCCATCCTGGTGATTTTAAAAAGATGACTGCTGGACTATTAGTGTTATTTTTTAAAAATTTTTTTGTTTTCTTTGGTCAGTTTCTGGTTTAGTGTTAAATAAAACTATTATTCTTTTCAGATAACCCCGGATGTGGCTTGTGGAAATGCCAGTTCCAACAGCTCTGCTGGAGGCCGGCTTATCTCCTTTGAAGTTCCACAGAATACATCAATAAAGTAAGAATATTTGTCATATGTGATGAAATATAAAAGTGCTTTTATTTTAATTTGGATATTTTAGACAACAGTTTTTCAGATAGGCAGATTTGTCAAATGGCTAAAAGTATATGAAAGAACTCAGACAGACTTCAGGCCTCTAGCAGTGCCGTGACAGCTCTTCGCTTGGTATAATTTTTCCTACATATTTAATGTTTTAGAAGATATAAGGATGTAAACTGTCTGTGCGCTATCAGAATGCATTAGAAATTAGGGCAGACTTGTTGAAGATGTCAGTTTGGAGAAGATACAACATTTCCTTTCTCCTTCCTTCCTCCCCCCGCTTTAATCTCAAGATGCACTTGCTGGTAGAAAGTGTTATTGTTGACTACATAAATGCATGTATTTTGTGCATTTGTATTTGATTTGAGTGTCATCATCAGCTGTGAAATCAGTGTGTATGTCCTACAAACCAAATTTCTCAAAAATTTCAATTTATTCTGTGTTACTCACTTTTCAAATTCGTGCTTTTTCAATCAAATACTTGCTTTGTTACTTTTAATTAGCAAAGCCTGGCTTAGAAAGATCTGATTCTGTCAGCTGCAATGAGGCATTTTTGTATTGGAAATTTTATTTCAAATAAAAATCTGCCAACGTAGTTCTCTGGCTCACAGCTTTACTTCAATTTTAGACTTAGATTTTTCCCAAAATAGCCTACTTTTCTCATACTGTCATCTTATCTTTCAGAATCCCAGCTTTCAGTTAAAAAAGGCCATGCTTACAGGAGAAAACAGTCTGATGCAAGCAGATAAGCTGCAGACATTTTGGAGCAGTAACTGTTAAACGTGGGAGCTGTCCTTTCTCTTCCCACAGGACTTTGAGTTGTGCTCATGAATGAGCGTTAAGCCTAAGTCAGGAAGAGATCTAAGTGTGGATGCTCTGGCTGGCTGGAATCTGGAAGCAAACAAGTATCTTTTCTTAAAATCAGGAATAAGCCGATATTTGTGGATTCTACAACTGTATTTAAGACCCTTGATGGAGGGACTCCATTTTAAAGGAGGTTGCAGAGTACCCAGTCACTTTTGGTCATTTTTTACGCTATGTATCTTTAGTAGTGGTTTATATCTGGGTAGATTAATGCAGGTCAATATTTATCTTTATTTCATTGTATTTCTTGTGTTAAAGGCCCAAGTAACATCTCTGGTTCAATGGCTATCTATGAAAGTAAAATAATTTCAGTTTAATAATTTTATTTTGTTTTGATTGTCAGGTGCAGCCTAAACTGTGAAACTAGTTATCCTGTTTTAAAAGGCGAGGTGGTCAGCTTTGGTGGTAGTGATGGGGGTTGTTCTTAAAGAGGACCCAAAATACTGTCAAAAATTTACTTCTTCTGATGTCTAGTTGCAACATTTTTTCAACTTGTGTCAAACATGATTACAAAATTTGACATGTCTTGTTTTGAACTCAATAAGAAGTGACAGGGGAGAAACTGCCTTGTGTTTTAGCAGGATTGAAACAATTTTAGTACAGGAAATTGTGGAACAGAACTTCATCTCTGGGTATTTGGAGGGCTGTTTTCAGCAGTGAGAATTATCAGTTTTCAGCAGTTGGATGCAGTTGTGTTTGAATTTTTGGAGGGTTGTTCAAACTCGCTTGAGATTCCTTCAGAGGAAATGAATGCAAATATTTAGGAACTTGCCAGAAACATGACAGGTTTTTATTTTCTCTTTATGAAGGTGAGTAGGAAAAAAGTATCCTGAGAGGAAGAAAACACTAACATAGATACAGTGCTCCCTAGTGGAGCTGACAGTATAGATGCAGTTGTAGATATTTATCCAATCTGTCAATATTCAGGAAGGCACAGTGGACTTGGTGTCCTTGGGAGCATTACATGACTCTTGATTTACAAGAATAAGCTGCTCTGAACCTATTATCTGGTATGTCAAACAAATGAGGATTTCTACCAGGATCTGTCTCCCTATATTGAATGAATACTGAATGTTCTTCAGTAAACAAGATGGCTGGATGTACTTCAGCTGCAGAAAATGATGGCATTGTAGATGTAGAATGGAGGTACTATTCAAAAGGGCATAAATACAAAGACTGAATAAGGATGCGTTACTATTATGTAATGTTTACGTAAAACTCTTCTTGGGCAGTAAGGTGGTGTCCTTCAAGTATTAGAATTGAAACTCTATATGATTAAATTTGCTATTTCATATATTACTATGCAAACCTTACTACTGAAGCATTTTTATTATTTTTATGGACATGCTAAAAACCTTCAGGCCTTTTCCTGATTCTGTACTAGCTACATTTAAGTTTTCCTTCTTTGTTGATAAGCTTTTGTTCTGTAGTGATGTACTTCCTTATAACACCAATTTCCCTCAATCTAAATATTCTTATAATTTATTTTCTTAGAATAAGGCAAGATGCTACTGCTTCTCTTATCCTGCTATGGAAGGTTACAACCACTGGATTTAAACAGTGCTCACTTATTGATGGCAGAAGTGTCACTCTTCTTCAGGCACTAGGTGGACTTGTTCTTTCTGAAGAAATGCTTGCATTAGGAAACAACTACTTTATTGGTGAGTAACACGCTGACTTTGTTTATCAGTTCTAGTTGAGAGCTGATGGTTTACCCAACATTTAGAGAAACAGAGGTAATTCCCATAATTTAAGCACTGCTGAAAGATCCAGATGTGGTATTGGGACCATGTTTTAGACATTGGGTCATTCAAAGCAGACAAGAGGTACACTAAATTCTTACACAGGTGGCACCCATTCAGTTTGATATCTAGATGGTGAGTTTTGCCTGGTACCTTCAGATGATGCAAGGTATTTTATATGTTCTATTTTAACCAACTGTAAAGCTTTTGGTAAATAATTCTCAATGTTTGAGGTGCTTCTTTGTCAGGTACTGTATCATGAGATACTTTGTAAAGAAGCTTAAGCCTGTACACAGTAAACTTGGGAAAAAATATTAAAAATATAGTAGGAAATCTGATCTTTTAGTGTATACTTGCACTACTTTTGCTCTTCTAGTTTTAACTCTGAATATGAAACCTTAGAAATATGCTGTATGTTTCACTGGGCAATTAAATGTTAAGCATCTTTGTGGAAGGGGTGTAATGAAAATAGGCTGATACGTTATTTTAAGTGTATGGAAAATAATACTGATTTAATGCAGTATTTATGCTTAGACACAATAGACTTAATTAAATTGAGCTTCCTGGGCAGATGGTTTATTATACCAATGACATGAAACCAAAGTCATTGTAATAACAGCATTTATTGTAATCTGCTTGAAATGCTGTATATCTTATAATGAAGTATAAGCTGCCACAAATTGTTATTCGGCAACTTATCATGCTAATAAGTGTAAAATTAAAAGCATTCTGATGCAGAAACATAGGGCCAAATTCTAAGTTTGTAGCTAATTCAGAAAACCCAAATGCAGTAGTAGTGCCATATTCTCTCCTTTTTGAGCTGCCGCTTAGCAAAGATATTGCTTGAAGGTTGTTAGGATGCTCATTTAATTACTGTCAGCAGTGGTTTCTTTTGGTGATATTTATTTTCTTCAAATAATTTTTCAGATCCTTATATTTTCTTTATTATTTACTTCCTTACAAGATACTTAGTTTCAGCTTTTTTTTTTTTGTTTTGTTTTAATCTAGTATTGCATGTAATTTACCAGAGTTAAAACTCTCCTCGTGTGTCTTCCTCTGGAATAAGTTTTTGCATTAGCCTTGTGGTAGTTAATGTATAATAAAAGTAAGTAAAAACTTGCTGAAGACAGGATAATTTGTAACTTATGTACTCGCAAAAGTACCTAAAGGCATAGCTTGGTCTGTAAGCTCACAGATAGAGGGCCTAAGTTGCTCTTTGAAGGCTTGACTTGACTGTACATGTCATACAGTATAGGCTATTAATTTAGATAATTAAATGGATATTGTCTTACTTCTTCATAGTTTATCTTGTCTTACTTGTGTCTCTCCATAGGTGTCTTTCTGTCACTGGGATTTTTGACTTTGAAATGTTTACCATGTGCTAGGTAACATGAGGTGAAAATATATCTTTTCCTTGAATATAAAACAAGGTTTAGTTCATAAAAAATCATACTAATCTTGCTTATTTCATGCAGTACAAGTTTTTTAAGACCTTTTATTTTACTTCCGTCTGTTTTTTGATACCTTCTTTTGTTGTCTTAATTCCCTGATAGTGAAAGTCTTTATAGAATTTTCCAGTTGTTGTAGTGTAATTTGATTTATGTAAAGAACATGAATCATAAATGTGTATGTGTGGAGCAGCAGGGAGACTCCAGTAATACAGTGATGCATTCATGAATAGGAGCATCTGAGTGCTTAGTAAACGTGAGTGCAGATATAATGAATTTTTATAAATGCTATTTATTTTAGCAGATGGATGGATTACCTACCATTTAGCAAATGGATTGCTTTTGATAGAAAATGAATATGAAACGTTCCCTATGCATATCTTTTAGTCCTGAGGTGTTGCAACTCTGTACTACGATATAATCAAGTAATGAGATTAATCAACTGCTTTCTGGAGTAAATTATTTTGTGGAGTCATAATTTAGTTATAGATTTTCCCAGAATAATTTCCTTTTATTAAAACAATTGAGCAGAAAAAGGGTGAGATACTAAGGGAACAGAGAAACTGAAACATGAATTCATTAGTTTAAAAATGTTTGTGACCTATCAACATTTATTGTAAGAAAGAGAAAACAGAATAACCTCTGGATTTTCTTCTCAATTATGTGGAAATAGTCTACTTATTTTCCGTCATTAGTTCTCGTCCAATAAAGTGTTAAGTCTTGGGTATAAAACTTAAAAAGGAACTCAGTAATTTGGTCTGAAAAATGCTGAATTTTATCTGAACTCAACTGAAATCCATAATTCAGCTAAGGTCTATATGAAAATAATTAAGTCTTTACTTCAGATTTGATCCAGATGTATGAAAATAATCTGTGACTCTGTTTTTAGTTTTCAATAGTTTAGTTTTCAATAAGTTCAGGTCAATAAATTTTACTTATAGACAACTTTCTATATGTTTCTTGATATACATGACAGCCTTACTCTAAGGTACAATAAGTCAAAATGAATGATTTTATATAAAAAAAGCAATAATGTAGCATGTGATGATATTTAAGCTAGAAAAGCTAGGACAATGACAAGGCCACAAGATGCTGTAGGATGCTGTAAGCATAGAATCACACAATAAGGCTGTGAACCATGCCAGTTGATGTATTTGCTTTATATAATTTCCCCCTTCTTCCTGCTCTACGTCTTATTTGAGGCACTTCTCACTGTGTTTTTTGTTACTCAGCAAGTTACTTTAGTTACCTCTTGCAGATCTTTCAGAATGAGGTGATTATGTCAAAGATAAAACATTTGGGGAAATTCCATTTATTTTCTGTTACTCATGCTGACACAAATTTAAAGTTGTTCAGACAAGATTGAAAAGACTCAGAAGCTGGCAGTAATGTACTGATTTGTGGATCATGTGATTCAGGGCACAGTGTCTAGAGGTTGGAAAGAATCCTTTCCCTGAGATCTAAATATAGACACCTTGATCATAGTGCTGTTCACCCCAGAGACAGTACCTGCACTGTATGAGAATGAAGGGTTTGAGGGAAGGAGTGTAACAACAAAGAGCAGTCTGTTTTCTATAATGTAGTTTATCAAATGGCTGCTGCATCTGCAAACAGTCTTTTGCAGTGCAGGAAAAGTTATGATGGTGTGATTATACAACATGATTATGTTGTTAAATTACAGCATTTACCCCATTAAAATAAGCCCCAGTAGATGAGAAAGAGAAATAACTTGAAGACTGGCTTGTACTTTCTGTAACACATTCTTACTGTGACTGCTTTGCTTAGACTATTTTTAATGAGTGTGTGTGTAACATTTAACACTACACATGTGCCAGTCTTCTGAAATAGCTTATTATGCTTTGTTAGAAAGTATACTTATAAGTCAACGAGGGAAAAAAGACCAATATGGTTCTGGTTTTGAAGAGAAAAAGCCCCTGAAATACTGATTCGCTCAGTAGATTTAGTGGGTTAGGTGTAGGATGAAGCACACAGCATATCCCAGGGTGCTGGTGGCTTTTAATGCCAAGTTGCTACTAGACAAAGGTAATTACTAGATGGTTGAACTCTACTCACTGTTTGCCACAAAAATGCTTCTTTTGATGCCAAGATAATTTCAAAAGTTTTGTGCCCAAATTCAGGATGTAAGAAAAACAAACTTATTTTATTGAGGGCTTTTCTGAATAGAAAATGTTTTTAATATCTATACAGGAAAATATCTGTTCTGTGGAGTGCTGTGGCTGGATAATGAGATTTGCCAAAGAGATAGTTGAGAAGTGAAAGAGAAGGGAATTAACCGTATTTTCAAATAAGAGATGGCAATTAAGGGATCAACATTTAAAACTTATTAATTCATGGAAAGTCTGCTGTTTACTTCAATAGAGTTATAGCTTCATACTCTGTCCCTATATTCTTTGAAGTTAATGCGTGATTCTTGTATCAACTATTTATCATATTTATGAAATGTCTCATTAGTACTTGTTTTAATTCACGATCTTCATATCTTCATGCTAGAAATAATAGTGCTAGAGTATTTGAAAATGAGTAACTGCCAAACTTTACCTTGTTACAGTCACACACCTATTCTTCATTGCAATATATCCTGAAAAATTAAAGTCAGATAAAATACATTTTACAAATCTGAAAAAATGTGATAAGAGTACCCTGATGTCCATCAGTTTGTTCATGAGTCTTTCAGACTGAAGTTCTCAAGAATGTTAAAGCGTTACAGTTAAGGATCTCTGTGATGAGTTGAAAGTGTTGCTTGTAATGTATTTTGGGGGGTTCTAATCCACCCAACATTGTGCACTTCTCTCTTTCAGGGACTGATATACTGGATTTTGATTATGTACAGGAATATGTTTATCTTTTTCCATACAAGTTTGTTGCAAGTGTGTAAGATTTACTAAATTGATTAAATAATACCTCTCTTGAGAAAATAACGCATTAACATTTTCCTTTAGAAAATAAAAAAAGGCCTTGCTGAAGGACTTTGAAGGACATTTTCAGCTGGTATGGCAAGTCTCTCAAAAATCTTCCATGATTTGTTGCATGCATCTTTTTTTATCCAAACGTGCAATCACGCTGTGACTGAAAACTGGAATGTTTATTCTGATGACAGAGTCTGCTATTGAAATAGTGAAAAAACCAAACTCAACACATAATAAAAGCATTAAAATCTTAATTTTTTTAATACTCACATTTTAGAAGTTTTACAGTGACTGTATACCATCTGTTTCTTCATGAATCAGTTAATTTACTCTGGTGCTAAAATAATATACCTGTTCACTAAGGCAACAATTCTGTGCTTCATGACTCAAAAGATACACCTGTGGATGTGAGACTTAATCAGTTGTAATTTCACACAGTTTCCAGTCTACTTGGTAAACTAGCATAGGTATACCTATATTGGTATAAAGTTAACAAATTATATTTAATAGTCCAATTCTGCTAGTAATCAAAACCATCATAGCT